TGGTTTGGCATTCTTTTCTTTTAATTAACTGAACATGCGCAACCCATCTCCAGCTAAGGGTGAAATTGAAGGTTTCACGAATACGATTTCAGATGAGTTAGAATCATTAACTTGCAAACCAATAATACATCAGCGATATTTTTTGTTATAAATGTTTGAAACAAAAAAATATCCTAGTCTTTGCTAATATCCCTTTAAGATTTAATTCTATTTTACCATTAAAAGTTACAAAAGATCTCAATCCCCCTTTTTAAATCAACAAATCATTCCTAAAAGAACATACAATTAAAACCAGTACAGGAAAAGCACTTAAGTCTGTAAAAGGTACAATAATAATAGATTTCAAAAACACAAAATAGATAATAAAAAAATGCCTTATTGAAGTATAAACACGGTGACTAAAAGCAAGCTTGACTTTATATCAGTTGATCTGTTTAATAGAAGATTTCATAGAGCAACACCATAAACATTACAGGAAGACATGATCCTGTGCACAAACTATGCAGAAAACAAAATTTAACTATTAGTATTGCTTTACACTATGTAGTAGAGAATTGATAAGAAGTAGTGCATTCGTAAACGATAATCAACGAGCGACTTTAGCCGCAAGTTGATTATCGTTTCCGAATCCACTACTTCTTATCAATTCTCTAGCTTAACCCATTTCTAGTATAACGACTGTCTGTTTTATGTTTTGACAATAAATCAACGGAATTTCATAACTATAATTTCATATTTTGTCTTTTTTATTCTTTAATAGCTGGAAATGATTATATCCAAACGGCTCATATCTATATTTAGACATTTGACAAGTTAACATAAGTTAAATATAACTTTAGTTGGGTGTTAGCTCCCCTTTTTTAACTCCAAATTTCATATTGGTAAATACATATTTCATTTAATGTTTAATCATTACAAATTATTAGAATTGAATAGATTTTGCTATTTATGATTTGTTTAAAAAGACATATAATGATATACAGAATTTATCTGTCTTGTTTTGAAAAGTTTAAAAATTCTAATTACCGAAATTTAGAACCTTTGAAATTTATATATACAATGTATAGTATTTAGCAGCATGTAATACTATAAGGCAGTCTATGGGCTTGCTATCATTTAAAAGCCGTCCTAATCCAAATATGACAGATTAGCGTAATTTCAAAATAACTACCGATTCATGAAGCTCATGTTATGTTGCTCTCCATAATAAATAAAATAATGTGCTTAAGGTTTTATTCTAACAATTATATATTAATTTTCTTTAAACTGTTTCAGTTTCATTAAGTTTTGATTATTTTAGCGTTATTACATTAGGCATCCATCATTTACCAGTCAATAAACTAGTATTATCTGTGGCACTCGTATCCGAATCAAAACCAGCATTGATATGGCTACAGATGTATAATTATGTTGATTTTATAAAAAAAAAATAATCAAGCTGTTCATAGCCATGATCATCTAGTCGTTGGTAACGAAAGTTGTAACGTTAATATTAACAGTACGAAGTTCAAACCTTGTACCCGAAATGAAATTTTTTCATTGTAATGTTTTTCTCGACCAAAATATTGTTATAATTTAAGAAATATTTATATATTTCATTTTCATATAATGGCGATGATTTTGTTTCTGTTTTTACTGTCAACGTTTTACAGTCTATTTATTGACATGTATTGACAATTGAGCGCTTTAAGAGTATAATTTAGATATTGATTTATATCAGCACTCGTGGTATAGTGGTATCATGCATAGACTGAAGACTCTACTGATTCACGATGAAAATACGCGCGAGTTCGAACCCTTCATATGCAACTCGCTTTTGAGACGATAAAAGATCGTAAGTTTAAAGTTATAAAATAAGTTATCTTAAGTTAACACAGTGGTCAGTGGATTCTTAAAAAATAATCTACAGTAAGAACAATATACTGACGTCAGAGAAATGGGTTAAAATTTAAAGAATTGATTTTTGATTTTTTAAATATAAGTAATAGCGATTGAATAACAACAGTATCCCTTATCAATAAGTTATTAAGCTAAGGAAACAAATTAGACGGTTATTCCTAAATGTTTAAGCTTTGTAAACAATATTACAGTAAAAATCTGCATATAAAATTTCACTGTTAATGAATAACATTTACTTTTTAAATATCTTCTTGTTTTGTTAATAATATTTATCAAAAGGTATTTTGACATAAATTTGGATTTATAACAGTGTAAATCATTTACAAGCTTTGATTATTTGATCTATAGTGCCTAGAAATAAGACTTGATGTTATCAGAACCACAAGTAAAGACACATGGAATCGTGAGTGTGAATTTCATTAAAAACTCGAAAAGTTTTTGACAATTACCTTGCTATAAATATAGGGCCTAATTTTCTACTGTTCATTCGTATATATTTTATGTTTGAACATTTGCTGGCATTGGCGGCATTCGCAGCAACCTTTCAAACTCTTTTGGACAGTTTGTGTTGCCTAAGATATTTCTTTCTCTCTGTATTTACGAAAATATTTTACTGTATTTCTCATGTTCTTTACGCCCGTTTACAATACACCTCTGGCTCGTAGTCGTGTTTAGTATATAAACGAGATACGGTAGGTTAAGGGTATCTAAACTATTGATAAATTACGTGCCATATGTGGAGCAGGTTCTGCTAATTTCAATGTCTAAGTTGTTTCAATCTAATTAAAATCCAGATCCTGTGTCGACTTTTTGCTAACAAGGATCTGACAACGCTCCTTTCGTCTTTCATGAATAACAGTACTGTAAAACGGATATTTGCGACCGTCAAATTGAAATTGACGGCGGCAACTCTTCAACTGTATTACTGTTATTCCGATTCTTCTGTCTAGATAAATGTTCATATTACATATTTTATATATCAAGGTGATTATACATAGCTGGATCCCACTCTATCCGATTCTTATGCATTACAAAAACCTTATTACGTAAGAGCTTGACAAAATGTATAAAATTCCGCGATACTTGAATTATTTTGGCTCATATACATCATAGCTAAACGTGACGTCATACAAATGAGAACTTACAAATTGAGGATTATTACGTTACTTCTACGATTCAAATTTGGATAAATTCACTTCAAAACGGCGTTTTGAGGTATGTGTTGTTTTATTTTCGATAATAATTATTGTAGTACTCGAACAATAATTGATCCTAGCAATTTAAAATGGTGGGTCACTCCTTAGTTACAACATGTCTATTTTAATAGCAGGACTTTCATTGGCTGATGTAATACTTACCAGATCATCATTTATCTACATCGTACGTTGAAATGTTATAATCTTGACTAATGCTTAATGCTTCCGGTTGGCACTAGAAAAAGAGTAATTTTATAAGATAAAACCAAAAATATATAAAGCAGGTATAAAGGCATAAAAGAAAATAGTAAAGAAAAAAGAGGGTACTCATTTGCTTTTCGTTCGTCAGGCCTGAACCAATCCGGCTGCCGTGGCGGTACCAGGGAAATTATCCCCACAGGCACAGCTCCAGTCTATCATTTGACTTACTTGGTAAATGAGGGACTGAACATACTAGTACCAGAAAGAGAGTGTTGAAAGCTCCCTCTTGAAGGATACAAAGGAAGGAGCCTCAGCTACAGTTGCTGTTAAAGAGTTACAAGCGATCACTGTTCTTGGAAAAAGGCTGTATTTGAAGCCATTTCTTGGTTGAGTATTGGCCGGAACTTCTTGGTATGTGATGATCTTGTTCTTGCTGACATTAGTGTTAGGTAATTGTCGCAGGGTATGTCCACAAGATCATTAACCACTTTATAAAGTCTGGTTAGTTGTAGTTTCACCCTTCTGTCTTCCAATGATTCCCAGTCAAGTTCTTCCAACATGCTACCAACAATACTGGTGTTCCTACTACGATTGTTGGCGTTTCGGGCTGCACGACGCTGGACCATTTCCAACTTTTCCACCTACTCTTTTTGGCAGAGGTTCTATACTGTTGCATAGTAGTCTAAGTTGGATCTGACCATTTTTCAACATAGGCATTTGTCTTTGTTTCACTATTAGATTTTCTTATGTGGGTTTTAGAAATCCTAGCATGTTGTTTGCTTTTGTGGTTACTGTATTGATGTGTATCACAAAGTAGAATGGAATGTAATCAGATACTTAATTGTAAGCAAAGTATTGACGCGAGATCTGTATTTTAATCAGATTGGTAGTGTTTCTACCGGTCACAGTCTTGTCGATCCTTTTTCCTGAACAAAAAAAAAGATTCTATTTCAAGATTTAAAATTCGGTTAAGTTTTAGGGTTAGAAAAAAATGACATGACACCAAGCTGCTATTACGTGATGCCCAATCACTTGATAGAACTTGTAAGCATGTTCCATAGTAGTAACACAGCGGGTGTCACATGTTGAGCATGATCTGCTAACCCTTCCGGAGATCACCCCCGGTATCTGGTGGGGTTCGTGTTGCTCAGTCTTTAATTTTCTATGTTATGTTAACGTGGACTGTTTTCTCTTTTGGTCGTTTTTCGTTTTTTGCCATGACATTGTCAGTTTGTCTTCAACTTATGAGTTCGAAAATTCGCCTCTATTTTAGAAGGATGTCCGATAAGTAGATAAAATTTGCGTTAAATTTGGAAGTTAAAAGGCCAATTTTTCATATTATAAACTTAAATTGCAGAAGCGGAACTTTAAATTTTTCCATTTTTGTTAAGTTGTACGTGTACCGTTTCAAACCCTTTTGAACTTGTCATCTTCAGCTACACTAATTAAAACTTTTATAATTTTAGGCTTTATTTCATCTTGTTTGAATAAGACACGTTGAAATAAACAGCATATCATTTTAGCATTTTACGATATATATTTTTTTTAAAATGAATATAACTGACTAATTTGATTACCAAATTAAGCATTTTGATTATGTAGGGTTCAATTTTCAGAACTCTCTGTATTATAAATAAGATCGATTTTACACTTAAGTAGATAATCTCTTCTGTTACACAGGTAAGTGTGTTTTATCCCCTAGAATAATAAAACGGAAGAAAGGTACCGTAGGAGGTATTTTCAGCATATATATATACAGTCATGTATCCAATAAAACACCGTGTATGCATAGCATGCAACTATTTTAGATCTCAATAAATTAAGGTAAGTAACACATTGTGATAATGTAATATGGACAAGATTGATCAAACACATAATTATTTAAAAATTTCAACTATACAAATATAAAAAGACCTCTGCAACTCTATAATGTTTGTTTTCAGTGCAGCTGCTTAACACTTCCTTGTCTATTTATATCTAAACTAGTTTAATAACGTTGATTTTCTTTCACTGGGGCTCATTGATAAGCGTAAATCAAATTTCATTTTGTGGCAACACTTCAATGACTATTATATTACTGTAGCCATTCATATATAACTACATTCACAATCTATATTATAGGTTGAGTGGCTCGGTAAACCTCGCCTTAGCTTCTCTCAATTTGTAAGCCTCATATAAATTAGATTTTTTGGACATTGACCTTGTGTATATTTTATCCTGATATCAGCCATTTTGTGAAAGAACCGCACTATAAATAACTGTTAATGTTGGTGTCATCCCCCGCGGACCGAACATAAGGTATGTCGATTTTAATGGGGGGGAAAATGACAACGAGTTAGATCATCAAACTAAACATTTTATTGCAGAATTAAAGCAAGTTCTATGTTCAGCATTCGAAAATATAAAATTTATTTGCAACTCGATACCACAAAGGACATAGAAAAGGTCGGTAAGCCTCGCCTTTGTATGAATATTTTACTTTTTACATCACTTAATTGACGCATATTGGTGATATGAGCTTTCACCATCATTATGCGACCATCGTGGCCATAAAATTAAGTAACATTGTCTGCTCTGAAATCTATGGGTAAATTTACACGAGCCTTGAGTTCGACAATAATCCCTAGAATGTATTATTTGAATGTGTCTCAATTGTTTTCCATTCGTTTGATGTGTTTGAGCTTTTGATTTTGCCATTTGTTAAGGGATTTTCCGTTTTGAATTTTCCTTGGAGTTCGGTATTTTTGTTGTTTTACTAACATGACTCTTACTATTAAAAGAACATTGTGGTCAAATGCAATTAATTGTAAAAAAAAATCTGAAGATCTCATTTGAATACATTTTGGTTAAAATTGTTTTGAAATGTTATTTTTTCTTCTCATAAATTTAGCCCATGACCCGGAAATTTGGCTGATGAAGATTTAAAAACAATGAAATATTGTACTTTTTTCAACAAAAATGTATCCACCAGAGACCATCGGACATGGATGTAAGCAACCATAGGTCACAGTACGGCCTTCAACAATGAGCAAATCCCAAAGTGTATACGTAACTATAAAAGGCCCCGGCTTGTAACAAATGAATCAATTGAATATAGTTATCAAAGGTACCAGGCTTATAATTTGATACGCTAGACGCGCGTTTCGTCTACACAAGACTCATCAGTGACGCTCAGATCAAAATAGTTAGAAAGCCAAACAGAAATGAGAAAACCAACGACTTATGCTAAAAAAATTCACGAATAACAAATATGAAAGACATGTAGTAACCAACGACAATCAATGAATTACTGGCCCCTGACGTTGAGCAGGCACATACAAAATGTGGTGGAGTTATAAATGTTTATGAGAGCCCAGCCCTCCATTTAACATGGGACAGCGTTGTAACACCACAACATAAGAACAAACTGCAAAACGTCCGTTGCTAAGGGCTTAATAAGATACAGTTCTAGCTCGATTTAAACCAACTCTTTCGGTTACAAAAAGGTGTTAACATGACAACTGAGACTGCTATGTGTTATAGTAGTCTCCGATAGTAATACAGATACAAAATAAGTAGGATTTGCAAGAATGCAGATTCACTTTAGTCTTGATGTTTCCTATCTATAAAGGATCGTTTAAACGTATTACTTTCTTAGACACAGGGCGATACATATTTAACTTGTCCTTGACGACAAACTGCGCTCGTTTGTTTTTGACCTGGCGTACTCCTTCATATATTTGATATAGTGCAGTTTTTTTAACATGGCGTGCTCCTTCATATATTTGACATGACGCAATCTAAATTAAGACTTGTCGTAGGACTTGAAAACTCATCAAAGATATCAGGTCTATAAATTGGTACGCTAGACGCGTGTTTTGTCTTCATCAGACTCTTCAGTGACGCGCGAATCAAAACAGTTGGAAGGCCAAATCAAATACGTAGAAAAAGTGTAATAAACAGCGAAAATGCCGAAAATTTGTGCCAAATACGGCCGAGGCAATCTATGCCTTCTGTAGAAAAACTTGATATTTCGAATAATTCAACATTTTGTTACCAATAGATTTACAGATAATGATATTTATGTCAACACAAAAGTGCTGACTACTAGCTGATGACATTCTCGGAAACAAAACATCCAAAAACAGTAGCATCGACCCAGTGGTAATAAAAACTCATCAAAGATACCAGGCTTATAAATTTGTACGCTAAAAGCGAGTTTTATCAACATAAGACTCACCAGAGGTGCTCGATTCAAAACAGCTTTTAGGCCACACATTTGAATAGCATTTAAAACCGAAAATTTCGAAAAGTTGTGCCAAACTAAAAAAAAAACATAAATTGTTATTTCATCTTCCTTTTAGGTAGGTCATAGTAATACCACAATGAAATCATCGTTCGTGTGTTTAATTTTTACTTTTCTGGTTGTTTTAATTGGTGCTGATAAAAACGAAGACATAACGGTTATAAATGCACCGTCTGGGCCAATCAAAGGACTGAAACTGAATTATCAGAAAACAGGAGAACCTTTATATGAATTCAGGGGAATACCCTTCGCCAAACCACCAATTGGTCCATTGAGATTCAAAAAAACAGAACCACTTGAAAAACGGAAAGAAGTTCACGATGGAACAAAATTTGGAAAAATCTGTATGCAGCCGGGTATCGATTTCATACCTGAACTTAGTAGACCAGCCATGTCGGAAGATTGTTTGGTATTGAATGTCTACGTTCCGAGAAAGTTACACGAACGTTTATCAGTAATGGTATGGATACACGGTGGCGGTTTTTGGATTGGTTATGGACACCAATACGATGGTGGAAAACTTGCAATGGAAGGAAATGTAATTATCGTAACGATAAACTATAGACTTGGTGCATTTGGCTTTTTTGCTGTAGGTGATTCTGCAGCCAGAGGTAACTATGGTTTATGGGATCAAAAGATGGCACTGCAGTGGGTACATGATAATATTGCATCTATTGGAGGTAATCCTGAGTCTGTTACAGTATTTGGCGAATCCGCGGGGGGATGTAGTGCATCATTCCAATCACTTATTCCTTCGAATAAAGGTCTTTTTCAGCGAGTTATTGCACAGAGTGGTGTTGTATCTAGATTTGTAGTGCTAAAAGATAGCAGTGTTGAAAAATTTGCAGCAGAAATAGCTGAAAAATCTTCCTGTCCATTTGATGAAAAGCAAATATTCGTTGACTGCTTAATAGAGAAAACTGCTGATGAAATCCTTAAATTAACCGACGTTTTTGCTTCAATGCCAACGGACAAGATGATGTTGGAATCCCTAGGAATGCCGGTCGTAGATCATGAATTGTTTCTTGAACATCCAATTAAAAGTCTTGAAGACAAATCATCAGATGTGTCCCAGTTTTTCCGTTCTCTAGATTTCATGGCGGGGGCTACTTCTAACGAAGGATCCACACTATATATGATGGTTCCACCAAAATTTCAAGAAAACTATGAATTTAATGTAACTGAAGGTATTCCATTGAAAGCCGTTTGTGACGGAATACTGTCACCCTTCGTGGAATTACTTTATGCCAACAACTCAAAAGTCAAGGACAAACTGTGTAAATATTATTCCGCAGAGTCTGTCGTAGATCAATCTTTAAAAGCAACGGATGCCTGGGCTGATATAACATTTAACTTTGGTATCAATAAAATGTTAGAATATCACTCTGGAGGTAACACATATCAATATGTGGTATCCAAATTAAGTCCAAAACCTTTCGGCGGGCATCCTCCATCATGGTTCAAAGGTGTTGGGCATGGTGATGAATTGCTTTACTTTTTCAATATTACACAGTTTCTGTCACTGGATAAAGAAGAGATACTAAATGATAAAGATGAGGATTTTGGAAAGAAAATGCTAAGTTATTGGACATCTTTTGCTAAAACTGGGTAAGCAGAAAATTATAGTTAAGTTTTATTTTGCAAAATGAAAAGTCAAGAGAGACTTCAAGTCCACATACAATATGACCAATGCAGGTACCCCTGAAAGTGTTTTCTTTTCTTTTTTCACACGCAACACCTTTCAAGCTACTTATTTGTAAATAAAGAACAGTGAATTATTCATTTTGAGGGAATACTAGATTTTAATCTTTACAAGCGGATATATTAAGTTGCCCGTAGTCATCTTTGAGAGATACGCTAAGTAAGTATATCTAGAATCAGAGACATGATACAGTATATATCTCTCCTAGAGCAAAAACACAAGACAATGAAACATAATCTTTAAATTTTATACATGCGACTTTTATCAAATATATGTCAAGCTGAACTTTTATATTTGAAAAATTCTGTTTAGATGGAAAACAAAATATAACCGCAGTTATTTCAGCATCCTATTTGTGAACTTTCCATTTCTATTTATCAACATTACAGTAGCGTCTGTATATGGAATATAAATCTCCCAGTTGATACGATAAATTGGAGCTTGCATTTCCTGTCATGATTTCCTTGATAGAGACTGGCTGCTTAAAAGGAAGCTATCAAATCAAAGGTTCCAAGTGGTGAAGTTGAAGTCATTCCTTCGAAATTTTACAAACGGGGTCATGCATTTTGATGACCGTTATGGAATATCTGTTTCATGGATGACGACGGATATGTTCCAATTGTCGTAAACACAACCCCTTCCTCTCTTCCACCGAATTAAACTTATCACCGAATTTGTACTTACATGAGTACAATTACGGGTGCCACGTTTGAAACAGGATCTGTGTATCTTTCCAGAGCCCCTGTGATAACCCATCGGTTTTTGATGACGTTCGTGTTGCTCAGTCTTTTGTTTTCTATTTTGTGCTTTGTAAACTGTTGTTTGTCTTTTGATTATTGTTTTTTGCCATGGCATTGTCAGTTTGTCTTCGATTTGTGAGTTTGAATATCCCTTTGGTATATTTCGCCTCTGTCTTAATAAATAAAGTACAGAAAGTTGACAACTATTGATATTTTTTTTTCGAAAGGATGATTATGACAGAACTGAATCGAATAAGAGACATATGTGATATCTTAGTAATTTTTCAATCAAATCTAAATTGAAGCGATGGAGGTTTAAAATTTCAAAATGAATGTTCGCATCATTTGTTGTTGAGTAATATATAGTATGATGAATAAACATATAACTTTCGTGTGTTCCGAAGAAAAGTCCGTGTGCTTCAGCATTCTCATTAGTCATTATCCCTATGTGCAGTATTTATCTTTTGTATACAGATCAATCTTCTTTATGTTTGTAACTCAGTCTAGTTTTCTATGTTGTGTTTTGTAGACTGATGCCTGTCTTTTGGTCGTTTCTTGGTTTTTTTGTCATGGCATTGTAAATCGTTTTAATTTAGAATTTTTATTCTAAGAGTCTTAGAAGACGGTGGATGGTCATTAGAATTTTACTTCAAATTGATGCAATACATAAATTGTGGAATGATATTAGCTATGTTATTTCCATAGTAATGACCCTGAGGAGCTTTATAAAATGTTAAAATTGAAAATGAAATACAATAGTTTTTTGTTTGAAGAACAGCCAGTATAGTAACTGACTAAAGACATTAATTAACAACTATGTTTTTCACCAACATCCTTAAATTTTAGTGACACACATTATTTCATGTAATTTTAGCGTGCCATACGCTGGTGATGGATCGGTACTATGGAAACCATTCGATATAGAAGACAAAAATTATCTAGATTTAGACGTGGAGATTACACAAAAAAGTAACTACAAACCTGAAATATTGGACCTCTGGTCAAACCAACTACCATCGTCTGATCTGGAACCAGCGACTTCAGATAACAGTCAACGTGATGAATTGTGATTATTTTAGTTTCAATAATAATTATCTGTTGTACTCATTTTATTTTAATACAGAGATAGCTTTTGAAACTATAACATATCTTTAAAAAGGCATAAAGGATTACTTGCATGATGTATTTGATCGAGCGGTCATTTGACTTTTATGTAAAAGGAATCATGTTGGACTTCCCCACAACCAAAACCAACTGTTCCTACTTAAAATATTGCAGAAAAAACATGTTCAATCTAGTGTACAACTGTTATTTTTGATTAGAAGATACTATATTAAACATAATCAGCGAGATTTATTGTTACGCACGATTGTCAAACCACTGTTATGATATGGAGATACATTAAAGAAAGGTATGCAATATATAACTTAAAAGAAGTTGAATATGATCGTTTAACTCTTCCAAAAAGTAATAAAAATCCACCTAAACCTTGTCATCCAGAAGTTCGCAATGCCATCTGCTATGTAAAGTGCAAAGGTCTCCGGAAAACTAAAAACAAAAGCCAATGATTTGACAGCTAGAAAACCCGACGACAATTCTTCGTATTACACTAAAAGTATGAGCCAAATGTATTTACTGGCTTGATATGTATTTGGAATTTTTAATATTAAAACACAAAATTTCACATCTATTTTATTGATAATATTTTTTAATCTTAAAAAGACTTAGCTTTCTTCATATTTACAAAATAAAATTAAAGTTAGTAACTCTGAAATAAACTATTTCTCTTTGATTTTACAACCATTTCCCCATCATAACTTGAACAGGATTTTCACAAGCATTCAGAAAATCTGACGAACAAGGAAAACTATTGTATAACTAAAGATGCTAAAAATCCACTTAAAATATAGTTTTTCAGTGAGGTAGGGTTTATGAAAGTCCTTCCATAGCAATATGTTTTTTAACCGTGTCGCTGCACTAAAAAAACAATTCGGCGATTGGAACTGCAAAATTTCGTGTTTTATACTGGATTTGAATCAAGTGCTTTGTGCTCCATTTTTAATGGCATGTAATGCGTGTCATATACCGTTCCAACAAAATGTGACTTGTGAGTTGAACTGTTTTGTCAAGAAACTGTACTTTTGTATTATATACTGTTGTATTCAACTATACAGTTGTAATTTACTATTTTGTGATGTACTGTCGTGTAATAATCTATGCTTTTGTGTGATATACTGTCGTGTAATAATCACTGCTTTTATGAGATGTACATTTGTATTGAACCGTACTTTTTTGTAACTAACAGTCGTGTAATAATTAGTGATTTATATGATTTGTGTTGAATTAAATTGTGCTTTAAATTATTTGTTTTCTATTAAATTGTGCTTTGAATGATTTGTTTTCTATCAATTTTTATTTTTGCTTTACATGATTTATTTTCGCGAAGTAACCAAGCTCTATTTAATTGATTGTTCAAAAGCTTTATGCAATAATTAATTTTCCATACTTTTTGCAAGAGAACGTCATGTTTACTGCACTGTGACAAAATTTCAAATGACGTAATGCAGCCTGTGACGTCGAGTGTGATTCGCCGCGATTCGACGCGATGAAGTAGTTCGTTTGTTATTTTCTCTGTTATTAAGGTGATTTTCATTTTTTCGTAATTACCGATGAAAAGAACTAGTGTCAAGCTATCCAGCAATTCTCATTCTGCAATTCTCTTTATAAAAAGCTATCCTGCAATTCGTTATCCTGCAATTGCGTTTGGAAAACTACTTGAGCGACAACTTTATTTTTCTTTAAAATCATAGTTTTTGACTTTTTTGTTCGAAAACAAGATTTATATAGAAAATCAAAGATTTTTATATCCCATTAACAAAATTCTAACTTTAGTTTGCTGATTTCTAACTGATATTTACGGTTTTGTAATTAGCATTTACAATTAAAAAAATCATGATGAAGATTCAAACAAAGTATTATCTGTTAAGTCCAGGGTGTGATTCGTATTTACGAATGTTTAACCCACATTCGCGATTTTCAAAACTCATATTAACGACTAAAAATATAGAATATTGATGTAAAATAAATTTTTTCATGGTATACCGACAATACAACTTCTATTTGAAACTTCATAACTCACATTTCCGACCCATTGCCTCGGCAGTTCTGTATGGCTAGGGATTATTGACTCTGCTCTCATAAATAGCTATTGGACTGAACTACAACGGAGGGGGGTGAAGAATGTCTGGGGTAAGCATTCTTAAAGGCCGAAAATTTCGTCCGAAACATGGAAATAAAGCCAAATTCGATAAAATACGCATTGGGGACACCCACTTTCCGACCCATTGTCGCGGTAATTTGTTATGGCTAGGGATTATAGACGCTGCCCTAATGAATAGCCATTAGACAGTACTACAACCTGAGTTATAAAATACAGGCCAAAATGGCTGAAACGTCAAATTTGCAAACTTCGTGTTGAAAATTGGCTAACAAGGTCATTACAAAAACAGGTTGCGGGGGTGAAACTTGAAACTTGAATGTCCAAAGAATAAGCAAGTCCAAACCTTGTATGTGTAGTCGTTGAACTCTAGGTTCCCACGTAAAGTTAAAATGTCCCTATTTCAAGAAGAATAAACTCACGAAAACACGAAAAATTCACTAAATTCGCGTTCATTGTTTTGATTTTGACCGCCTGACAACTTTACGGAAATATCAGAGTGATTATAAACAAGGACTCTGTGACGGGCAACTTATAATATCCGTGTTTTAAAGATTTTAATGATATCAAGCCAGTCCAGTTCAAACTATTATCACGTGGTACAATTCTCATTTACATATTATGAATATTAATTAGCAAAAGTACTACTAATTTCTGGCTATGTACCGCGACAATGGGTCGGAAAGTGGGTGTCCCAAATGCGTGTTTTATCGAATTTGGCTTTATTTCCATGTTTCGGACGAAATTTTCGGCCTTTAAGAATGCTTACCCCAGACATTCTCCCCCCTCCCGTTGTAGTTCAGACCAATAGCTATTTATGAGAGCAGAGTCTATAATCCCTAGCCATACAGGACTGCCGAGGCAATGGGTCGGAAATGTGAGTTATGAAGTTTCAAATAGAAGTTGTATTGTCGGTATACCATGAAAAAAGTTAGTTTACATCAAAATTCTATATTTTTAGTCGTTAATATGAGTTTTGAAAATCGCGAATGTGGGTTAAATATTCGTAAATACGAATCACACCCTGGACTTAACAGATAATACTTTGTTTGAATCGTCATCATGATTTTTTTAATTGTTAATGCTAATGACAAAACCGTAAACATCAGTTAGAAATCAGCAAACTAAAGTTAGAATTTTGTTAATGGGATATAAAAATCTTTGATTTTCTATATAAATCTTGTTTTCGAACAAAAAAGTCAAAAACTATGATTTTAAAGAAAAATAAAATTGTCGCTCAAGTAGTTTTCCAAACGCAATTGCAGGATAGCTTTTTATAAAGAGAATTGCAGGATGAGAATTGCTGGATAGCTTGACACTAGTATAAAAAGAATAAAGGACGTTTTGTTTTTGATACTGACTTTATCACTGTAAAATATCAGGTTCGCCCTTCTTTTTATCTGTGTTCGTTTCAAATCTTTTCATCGCATCTAATCACAGTATAGAAAGCTAATATCAGCAAAACTTGCATGGGTATCAAATATAATATTAAGAGCCATTTAATATTTAAGTGACTTTAAAAATGTCTTTTGACTTCTTTTACTTGAATATGATTTAATCTTGAATTATTGATATAATTGTCATGTTATGCTGTTTGGAGGCCATTTGTTGGAAATAAAATATTCTTTATCTCCATCTAATGTACACTAATTAAAACACTCGCTGTAGATTTCCGGCTTCATAATAACTTTAATAAATAAAACCTGATTAAATCAACAGCATATAATTTTAGCATTTTGTGAAACATTTTTCCCCCGATGATTATTACTGACTTATTTTGAAGATATAACTTAATGACTATATTATCAATACGTAGGGTTCAAATTTTATAACTCTGTGTATTATAAATAATGATCAATTTTACACTAAAGTAGATCCTGTTTTCTGATAATTTTGCACAGCTTTAGCGAATTACACAAGGTTAGTGTGTTTCTCTATGAATAATAATAAACATGAATGCATTATTGCAGTTTTATAGTTTATAGGATAGCGACCGCCATTGTCAGTAAAACCTCATCTGACCCAATAAACGACATCAACAATGATCAACACATCAAGGTAAGTTGCTTGTACGTTTAACGTAGTGATAATGAAATTAGATAAATTTGATCAAACACGTATTATTCTGATAGTATATTTGAATTCCATACTCAAATAAACGAATTTCAAATTTCAAATATGTAAATATAAATAGATTTAAATATAGATATAAATAAAATGCCAATCATACATAATGCATTTTTACAGTAATAACTAAGTGATATTTTTACAATTTTGACTTTCTTTAACAATCTGGTGCTCATAAATAGACGAGAAGGTAAGTTTTGTGGCAACACTTCAGTGACTATTATTCTAACCATTTATAGCTACATACATAAACAATATTTGATAAGCTAAGTCGATTTTTATGATTAACATCGACAGTAGCTAAGAATATAAAACTGAACATTCCATCGCAGGATTAAAACAGTGTACGTACAGCGTTGAAAAATATTAAATTTGTTTGTAATCGCTATGAAATAGGTGAAAAAATCGGTGAATCTCGGTCTTGTTTTTATTTTTATGCCCGTATACCACTGCATACGAACTAATTTTACATTTTCAAACAATTTACTTATAAACTAAGACCCATTGGTGGCCTTGGGCTGTTTTATGCTTTTTGGTCGAGTTGTTGTCTCTTTGACAAATTCCCCGTTTCCTTCTCCATTTTTAAATTTGATTACCTATCCTGTTTTTTATGTCTTCCCTCTCTGTTTACATTTTAGCTCACTTGTGGCATTGGCGTCGGTGGTCGTCATAAACATTTGCTAAAATCGTCTCTATTGAAATCAATGGTTCACTTTAAACAAAACTCGGCGACAATAATCTTAGAATGTCTTTTTTTTAAATTGTCAATTATACCTTAAGACCCATTTCTTGGTAGGCCTCTATTACTTTTAATAGATAATTGTGCTTAAACGCAAATTACTGTAATTTTGAATTTTGAATAAATTTGAAAAAAAAACTTTTGTTAATGATTTGTATTGCAACTATGCGTCCGTTGTCCGTCGTAAACATTTTCAATGATTTACTTTTCGAAACCGAAGCTCTTGTATAAAACTATTATAGATACACAGAAATGGTAAACAGCAAATATGGCCAGCAATACAAAAATGCACATATGACTGAAACAAAAGACCCCTTACAGTTTTCTCCCTTAAATGACGATTAATGACACATTTTAACATTTTGCTTATAACCTGAAAGACTGATTATAAGACAGAAACTTTTGAAATAGTGAAAATGATCAAAAAGCACGACTTTTTCAAATGATTTAATCAAAAAATTGACTTCTGAAAGGAGTTATGTCAATATGATTAAAGATTTACTTGCTTAAGGATTTTTGACAAAAAATTAGTGTTTTGTTTAAGTAAGAGCAACTAAAAGAAGTAAAATCAAGCTTACAATTGGTGCACTTTGGTGTAACACTTTTTCGATAATTTTGTCTTGTATAGACAACATAAAACAGATAATATTTCACTTTTCCTAGGGGTCATATTAATTTGTCTGACACAGCTTCATACATAATCAACTTATCCTTGTCGATAAACTGCAGTCACTCGGTCTTGTTTCATTTTTTTAAACCATCAATTTTTTAAATATTTTTTCTTTATAGGTAGATCTAGTTATACCATAATGAAATCACCGTTCGAGTGTTTAATTTTTACTTTTCTGGTTATACAAATTTGTGCTGATAAAAACGTAGACACCACGGTTATAAATACTCCGTCTGGACCAATCAAAGGACTGAAACTCAATTATCCAAAAACAGGAGAACCTTTATATGAATTCAGGGGAATACCCTTCGCCAAACCACCAATTGGTCCATTGAGATTCCAAAAGACAAAACCACTTGAAAAACGGAGAGAACTTCATGACGGAACGAAATTCGGAAAAATCTGTATGCAGCCGGATATCGATTTTATGCCTGAATTTAGTAAACCAGCCATGTCGGAAGATTGTTTGGTACTAAATGTCTACGTTCCAAGAAAGTTACACGAAAGTTTATCAGTAATGGTATGGATACACGGTGGAGGATTTATGATTGGTTATGGACACCAATACGATGGTGGAAAACTTGCTATGGAAGGAAATGTAATTATTGTAACAATAAACTACAGACTTGGTGGATTTGGCTTTTTTGCTGTAGGTGATTCTGCAGCCAGAGGAAACTATGGTTTATGGGATCAAAAGATGGCACTGCAATGGGTACATAATAATATTGCATCACTTGGAGGTAATCCAGAATCTGTCACAGTATTTGGCGAATCCGCGGGGGGATATAGTGCATCTTTCCAATCACTTATACCTTCAAATAAAGGACTTTTTCAGCGAGTTATTTCACAGAGTGGTGTTGTATCTAGAACTGTTATTTTGACATATCGCTCTGTTGAAAAATTTGCAGCAGAAATAGCTGAAAAATCTTCCTGTCCATTTGATAAAAAGCAAATATTCGTTGATTGCTTACGAGAGAAAACTGCTGATGAAATCCTCAAATTGACCAACCCTTTTGCCTCAATACCAGCGGACAAGCTTATGTTCGAATCCACTGGAATGCCGGTCGTAGATCATGAATTGTTCCTCGAACATCCAATTAAAAGTCTTGAAGACAAATCATCAGATGTGTCCCAGTTTTTCCGTTCTCTAGATTTCATGGCGGGGGTTACTTCTAACGAAGGATCCTTACTATATATGATGTTACCACCAAGCTTCCAAGAACACTATGAATTTAACGTTACTGAAGGTATTCCACTGAAAGCAGTTTGTAACGGAATACTGTCACCCTTCGTGGAATTGTGGTATGCTAACAACTCAAAAGTCAAGAACAAACTGTGTGAATATTATTCCGCAGAGTCTGTCGTAGATCAATCTTTAAAAGCAACAGATTCCTGGGCTGATATTACATTTTACTATCCTATCATGAAAATGTTAGAATATCACTCTGGAGGTAACACATATCAATATGTTGTATCTAAATTAAGTCCAAAACCTTTTGGCGGGCCTCCTCCGTCATGGTTCAAAGGTGTTGGGCATGGTGATGAATTGATTCACTTGTTTTATGTTTCTCAGATTCTGTCACTGGATGAAAATGAGATAATGAATGATAAAGATGAGGATTTTGGAAAGAAAATGATAAGTTATTGGACATCTTTTGCTAAGACTGGGTAAGTATACTACTGCTTTATTTTACAAAATAATATATCACGCCAGACTTTAAAAATCCAATTATAAAAGGATCAATGCTGGCCCTCTCGAAGGTATTTTGAATCCTTTTTTACCATGTGATACCTATGTACCTGTCAAGCTACTCATTTGTAAAGGGACAACAGTAAATTACTCGTGTGTAGGGAATATTTAGTTAAATAATTTTTTTTAATTTTTTTATTGATCTTTTTGGTGTTCAAACTACAGTGCATACATACATTTTTACAAGACATAAGTGAATGACATGACATTTATGGCATTGTTATACTATTGATATTATGCGAATAAGACATAGTAAAAAAAATTTACAAGTTGATGATGTAAATACTCAGTATATGATACATCTTAAAAAAATACTTTGGAATACATTAAATATATAATCAGATTAAAAATAAATTTAATTAAATAAATTCCATAAATCCCCCCCATCTGTCGACAAATGACTCGTGTTTGTCTTTAGAAAGATATAAATATTCTAATATCTCTAGACGTCTTTTCAAAAATTTAAGAAAAGCTTGCACAGATATTAACAGTCTGTCTAATTGTGTGTTCTTTACATAATTAATGTAATACTTTGCCTGTAGAATACAATAATTTAAAACTACGTTATCAGAATTCAATATACCAAAAATGACACTATCTTTATTCAAAAATATTTTTACTCCAAAAACTAAATACCACCAATTAGAAAATTCTCTCCAAAACTGTTTTGTTTCTATACATTCAAAAAATTTATGCTCTATAGTTTCTATTTCTTTACAACTGGCACATTCATTAGTTAAGGAAAGTTTATATTTTTCAAGAAGATAATTATGTGAGACTATTCTGTGTAACATTTTATATTGGAAAGCTTGTAGTTTGCTTTCTATAGTACATTTAAAAGCTAGTGAATAAATATTTTTCCATTTTTCGTCACTAATTTCTATATTAAAACTTTCTTCCCACCTTTGTTGTGAAATAGGAGAAATACTTCCCCGATCGATAAAAAGTGAATATACATCCTTAGCAAATAATTTACTGATAGGCTTTTTTTTATTCTCATTCTCAAAAACGAATCCAAATGAGTTGCTGTTAGGTGACATGTGTTGTTGTAATAACAAATTTTTCCAGTCACGTGGTATAGCAAGTTTAATAGATAGAATGTCTACAAAAGTAACATTCAGTTTATATTTTTGGTTAATAGCGTCTTGAGACAAAAATTCGCCTTTATCATCTACAATATCATTGATGAACCTTATGCCTTTCATGTACCAAGATCTGTAAAAAATACTCGTTCTGTCAATTTTGATAAACGGATTGAACCAAATAAATTCTTTTCTAACATGAAATGCATTTAACGAGATGAAAATACCCTTGAAACGTTTCCAAGCAGATAACACTTCTATATAAAAAAGAGGTGCTTTTAAATTTAAAAACTCAAATTCACATCTGCTCATAAATAAATCCTCTAAATCAAAAAGGGGGAAGAATGCTTTGGAAACATGTTTCCATTTGGAGTCATGTTCTGACAGAAATCTTTTTACCCACATGATACGAAAGGATAACAGCTGTACTTCAAAATTTGGGGCTTTTAGTCCCCCCTCGCTAAGAGACTTTTGAATAACTTCCGATTTAACTTTCGGAGTACTACCATTCCATAAAAAACTATTAATGTCACGTTGTATTTTAATTACATAAGATTTTGGTACATGTGTAGATGAAATGACATAAATAAGCTTCGATATTGCAAGTGATTTAAGAATTACAATTTTACCGATCAAGGAAAGGTTTCTGATCCTCCACAGTTTAATTATTGATTCCATTTTTTCTATGCATGTATCTAAATTAGAACAAACCATTTCTTCAAAAGCATTAAATTTTAAACCTAAGGTTTTAAAACCATCTGTACATTTAATAGGAAGGGAACCTTCTTTGTTAAATTTATTTCTTCCAATCCATGTTGCTTCGGTTTTCGAAAAATTGACTTTTAACCCTGAACACTTCTCAAAATCGTTAAAGGAATCTAATAAAATTTGCGCTGAAAATACATCTTTCAAAAAACAAGTGGTATCATCAGCCAACTGTGAAATTTTTATTTCAGTATCCCCAATTTTTATACCAGATATCTGATTGTTCTTACGAATACTTATTGCCAGCAGTTCAACTGCCAAAATAAATAAAAAAGGAGACAAAGGACACCCTTGTCGAACACCTCTCTCAATTTTGAATGGACTAGAACTAAATCCATTATTAACGACAAGACTAGATATATTTGAGTATAAAGTTAAGACCCATTTCCGGAACTTGCTACCAAAATTAAAACAAACCAATGCTTTTTGAATGAATTTCCATTCTAGCGTATCAAACGCCTTTTCGAAATCGACTAGTAATATAAGCCCTGGATAATTCTTTAAAGTAGTAAACAATATAATATCAGCAATGAGTCGTAGATTTTCACCAATGTATCTACCAGCCACATATCCCGTCTGGTCCGGATCTATAAGTTTTGGAAGAAATAATTTCATTCTTTCTGCAATAACTTTGGCTAATAGTTTGTAATCAAAATTTAAGAGAGAAAGAGGACGCCAGTTCGACAAGAGTGTTCTATCTTTATCTTTCTTTGGAATAAGAGTCAGAATACCCCGTCTTTGGTCTATTGAGAGGGTTCCGGTTTCGAAGGAATATTCATAGCTTTCTAAAACATATTTTTTTATATCAATCCAGAAAAATTTGTAAAACTCAGCAGTTAGCCCGTCTGTACCAGGGCTTTTATTATTTTTAAATGCTTTCAAAACTTTAACGCACTCAGATTCTGAAATATCTGCATCGCATATATCCTTTTCCAGATCTGTAAGCTTAGGAATAAAATTTAAATCTCAGTGCTCGGCGTGTGATCGTATAATAGCCCCCTTGTTTGATTGTTTACTATTTGCTCTAAATCTTCTTTAACAATGTCTAATTCAATCAAAAGTGTATTTATATCTTTATCTAAATATGTACGAGAGAGAGTTTTCTGAATTTCGTCTTGTCGTTTTTTTAAACTGGACTCTCTTTCCCGCAATTTCATGTTTTTATATTTGGAATATTTGACGGTTGCGCCTCTTATTTCACTTTTTATGGTATCCCATTTCAAATTTTTATTTTCTAAATTGTGATATTTATTATCACATTCTGATAAAGTCTTTTTGACTATATCCACATAATCTTTATCTGTCAATAAACCAGAGTTGAATTTCCAGAAACCGGGACCTCTCTCACTATAGTTTTCGCCGGACAGTGTCAATTTGATAAGACTATGATCAGTTTTAATAGACGGGACAATGGATGTTTTGGTTACACTGCTTGACAAAAAAATCGATATCAACCAAAAATCTAAGCGACATTGTATAAGAGGGGTTCTTTGACGCCAAGTATATAATCTAGAATCAACATTTTTTGTCCTCCAAATATCACATAAATCAAATTCTTCTATAAAATCTTCTAATTTACTCGTATATTTGACAGGTGTGTTATATTTTGAACCACCCATTTTGTCTAAAGATGGACTTAGTATCGTATTAAAATCTCCACCCAAAACAAGATTTTGATCTAACCTTTCGTTTAATAAAATCTTGATTTTTTCAATATATTCAATTTGTTCATTTTCAAAATTTTTGGTGGGCGCATAATAATTTACAAAAACAAAATCTGTGTTATCAATTTCAACAGTTAGAATGAGATACCTTCCGTTTTCATCTGCTATTTTTTCCTTTAATATATAGTCTGTTGATCTGTTAAACAAAATAGCAACACCTCTAGAGTTCGTTTCCCCGTGCGAAAAGTAAATATCTCCACCCCATTCCCTTTTCCATTTAGTTTCATAGGATTCAATACTGTGTGTTTCTTGTAAGAAAATGATGTCGCTTTGAAATTTTTTCAACCAAAGAAACATGGATTTGCGTTTAAAATCGTTTCCAAAGCCATTTACATTAAGAGAAGTTAGATTGATACAATAATTAGCCATTATCTAGTTTTGGCTTTACAGTCTTATTAATTTCATATGTAATACACTTTACGTAGTTGAACATTATATAACTAAGTAGAAAAAAAATACAGAAAAACATATCAAAAATTAAAATACAATACAATACAAAAAGAGAGAATTCTCTCTGTTCGGTCTGCCTGACATAAACCATATGTTTAATATTAATGTTTCTAATATTCATTGTACATTCTCAATAAAACACATGTAACTTTCATTCATTAATAACAACAATACACTATTATAGGTAAACAAATTACGGTTTAAAGTACATGTAACTTTCATTCATCCATAGCGGCAATACAATTTACAACCTTTACTATAGATGACCCAATTACGGTTTAAAGTACACGTGTACAGGTACACAGACATTCTTGTCGTAAATTTTGTTTACCTTTTCTTGTCGACGTACGAATATGGGACACAGTTATGTAATTGCAAATATGTATTTTTAATGAGAACTGTGGATTGCATTTGTTATCACTGGATTCATGAATAGATAGTTTTTTGCATATATATACGGTTGGAATTACAAGATTTGCAATGGGTGCGAAACGTATAAAATTGCACTTATAAATGTTTAATGGATGTATATATATATTTTGGTCACCAACATTGCTGGGGAAAAGTATTCGTACTTTACAAAAAACGAAATGAGGATTCATTTTATAGAATACCAGACGTAGCATGTTTATTCTAACGTGTGTATGTGCAATTTATGTAAATATAGTGTCAACGAAGACAAATGTGGGATTTTTTTCCCCCGGAATTATAGTAATACACTAAGAAGATAGTTACATTCATGATGTCTGCGTACCGGTACCGGTACCGTAAGTAAATTATGTTATATAAAATCACAATAGACGCTGCATGTATTTTATTGACTTTTTTTAATTCATGGTGACATTATTTAAATAAAGTATCGGATGAAGTTCTATGTAAATTTAGAATTCGTAAAATGTAGTTTTATCTACAAATGACCTAAGTATTTCATTTGAAGTTTGTTTATTTATAAATCGCTTGTATTTTATAGGTAGTGGTGAAATTTATGAATAATATTGAAATAAAATAGAGAATGGAAACTCTTAGATACTTTGAAAATAGTTAATATATAGGCTTTGAAAAGAGAATACATGAAACTAAATATATAATATCTAACAAATTGTAAACCTGAAAGAAGAAAAAGTAAATAATTAATTACAATTGCATATGCCAGGATTTCTTGGTTAATATCCTTGGTCATCTTTGAGACAAAGTCCATTTAGAACAAAATACATCAGACACAACAATAGTTTCATTTCTCGAAGCAAAGTCTTTGAATAACGTGAATGCTCTTTTTCCTGTCAATAAAATCTTAATTGAAGTGAAAGAGGTTAAATTTTTCAAAATAAATCTTGTATCCATTTGTGGTGGGGTAATGTATAGGTTATAAATAAACATATAACTGTCTTTTTTCTGAAAAAAAAGTCCGTGCGCATAAAAAAAAAACCACGAGAACTTAATACATATGTTTAAACACAGAACAACATCTTCAGTAACTGGCCAAGTGCATCAATTTACAAATTTTTCATCCACATCCTTAAATTGTCCAGTGACTTTTTTTACTTCATGTAATTTCAGCGTGCCGTATGCGGGTGATGGATCGGTATTATGGAAACCATTCGATATGGAAAACAAAAAATATCTCGATTTAGACGTTGAGATCACACAAAAAAGTAACTACAAACCTGAAGTATTGGATCTTTGGTCAAACCAACTACCAGCGTCTATTCTGGAATTAGCGAGTGCAGATAAAGGCCAACGTGATGAATTGTGAATGTTGTAGGCTCAATGATATTATATGTTGCACTAATTTTTTATACAAAGATAGTTTTTGATACAATAATATATCTTTTAAAAAAAGACCCCAAAGCAATAAGGAATACTTGCATTGTGTATAAAACACAACACTTTGTTAATGTCATTCGTGCGAAGCGCTTTTCTGGATTTACCTTCATATTTGAAAGGCAAAAATGAATAAAAACCGAAACAGTTGAAGAGATATGTGACAAATAAGGACCTACACATAATAGTTAATTCCATCAATATAATCGTTTAACTGCTCAAAACAGTCGTAAAATTCAACCTCAACCTTGTTATCCAGAATTTTTGGCAAGGACATCTGCTAGTGTTCATTATATATGTAAAGCAGTTTTCCAGCTTTAATCTCAAGGCAGAAGGGTGCTAGTTCACCAAATGTTTAACATAATTGGGCTGTTAGCACATCCCCTGAAAACAAAATTCCATGTTTCCAGGGCATATTTGAAGTATATTTAGACAGTTATTTTGTTCTTGATTTTATTTCCATGTTTAATCACATTATTGTAAAATGAAGCACGACACATAATTATGATGGTGAAAAAAAAACAACCCAAAAAAACTTCCGAATTTCAATGATTCTACATGTATGTCATCGTCATATTTATTAGTTGTTTAGACAATCAGGTAACATTTTTACCGGAAATGCCGACAGACATTTATATTTGTATTAAGTTTATAGTTGAAACGGCAAAATGGTGCATTTTATTTTTGCATGCATGGGCAGAAGGCCGGGAGTAAGGGCCACCCTTCTATTTCGGGCAGGCGGGAATACTAGTAAAGTGGATAGGTCTCCAGAAAACTAGAAAAAAGATCCAATGATTTACCAGCTAGAACACACGGCTACAGTTTTTCGTCTGGTATAAATGTACGAGAAAATGCCGAATGTATTTAGTGCCAGGATATGTTTTTAATATATTTGGGGTTTAAACATTTTATCAAAAAATGTTACAGTCATTTTATTGATAATATTTGTTTAACTTATAAAATAATCAGCTTTTTCATAATCTACAAAATAAAATTCAAATTCTTGTTACTCGTCCTGTTATAATCATTTATTTTCTGTGGTGTACTGTTGTATTGAACTGCACTTTTGTAATCTGCTGTTGTATAATATTCGGTGCTTTGAATAATTTGTGTTCTATGAAATTGTGCTTTGTGTGATTCATGTTTCTATGCATTTTTTTGGTGTGATTTGTTTTCTATTAAATTGTGCGTTGTATTATTTGTTTTATTTGAAATCGTGCTTTGTGTGATTCGGTTCAGCTGTGTTTTTTTTATAGTATATTATATCTTTCTTTATAAAAATGAAAAATGTCTCTTCGTGATTAAAAATATTTTTATTTTATCAAAGTAACCAAGCTCTGTTTACTAGAATAGTTCTTGTTAAATGTTAAAAAGCTTTGTTTATAAACGAAAAGCTCTATTTATAATCGAATTCTAGCATTTAATAAACATGAACTGTATTGGGCTTGTTAAAAATCGTCTTATTACAAGCAATACATCTAAAACAAATCACACGAGGAACTACATCACCACAGCGAAGCATGATATGAGACATACACATACTATATAAATCACATGAAGAAAGTGAGTTCGTTCCTATGCAAAAATATTAAAAGTACAGTAATGCAATCATTTGTAACGCACATAAAACAGTTGATAACACATAATCAGTTAAAGCACTAAAGCTTTAACTATCTACAGGCATTGCATTTTTGGCATGAACTACCATTCCGGGTAATAACGAAAACGCAATCAAGACAATTGTCTAACATTTAAAGTTGAATTCTTGATTGTCAAACATACACTTTCCTACTTGATCCACTAAATGTCTTACATTAAAGTGTTTTACTTTTTATATCAAAATGGGACAAACATGACACAGTTATGATAGAAAAAAAAACTTAGGAATTATAAATTTTGGGAATGATATTGCGCACACACCTATCCTTTTTCCTACATAGACCTTATGTATATACAGTAAAATACGCAATTCAAAATCTGCACAGTCCAGTTTCCAAAGGATGACCACTAACTTGCAAACTTGGGCCTTACTGTTTGCGTTACACATTATCGACGCGGAAAAATTGATTTATTGAAAATCCGGTCACATTCTTAGCCAACTGTAGCAGAAAATCTGAAGGCCTTTGCTCGCTCCACCACATCATTACCATTTAAAATTCACTTACTATACTTTAGCAATTACCGTTCTGTTCATCATTGGCAGAGGTGAATCTTCGATTTTCAACAGAATTTTCCAAACGGGGGAAGTAGTCAAAAATGTTTACTGATAAGTCTGCAACGGCACTGTGAAACATTTTTACGAAACTGGAAATATGATTTTCAAAAAGGTCAGACTATTAAACAATAATTAAAAGTATAGAACTGTTAAGCTCTGTTTCTTACACAGCCTTCATGTGTAGAAACTATATGACAAAGGTTAATTGAAATCCAAAACTGGAGTAATAAATTATTTTTACAGTATTTACCTTAAGTATAGTTAAGAAAGTTGATAGACAAAGCAAGCTGATCCAAAGACATTCGAATGCGATCAAGTTTTGAGAAATGTCGTGTGCATATAATTTGGAAGTGAGGTGAATGATTATTGTGAACGAATATTTGGTGTAAAAACTGCCAAAAGATTGCAATTTAAAAGAATGTGTAAGATATTATAACTATTTGTAGGATATCACTTGACTAGCAACGAAAATAGCATCTCGACAGATAACTCAATTGTCCAATGCGCTTGCATAACTAAGTATTTTTTTATACAGTCATTGAACCATGACAGTGGAATCAAGGACGACGGACAACGGACATACATAAACCTCAGACTATTAAATTACTTCCCTAAGTCGTAGATTGAAAAAAATAATAAAAAACAACACGTTAAATAATGTCATGCGTCCGAAGCGCTTTTTCTAGATTTACCTTCATCAGGAACGCTCAAAGCTATGAAAAATATGACTTATATAAAATTTGCGGATAATAAAGATTTTTTACGTCTTGGTCTAAAACTAACATCTCCTTGAAATTTTTACGAATTTTGGTTATCTTATATATATCAACGATCTACGGTAACGCTTCAAACGGCCGGAAGTTTTCAATGTTGACAATGTTCATTTGTACACGAAAGGAAGGCAAAATCAGTAAACTATTCGAGGACAAATTGATGATGATACTTGGGTATGGCATATTTATTTTAGGGGGAATACTGTTCTTCTACGATCTGAAAAAATGCTTTTCTAAAGCCGGACGCCGACGGAAGGAGCATATCCCTATGTCTCGCATTCTGGAAATTCATTGCAGGTGAGACAAAACATCGAAATCTAGAATGCAATGCACGAACGGGACAAATGATATTATCAAATCAAATATATACGTGTGTGTGCGCTAATAACAAAAATTTTATATTTAAAATACAAACTTTTATAAAAACGTTATTTGGGGAAACATGTAAGGCGCACTGAACTCCGTAAAACAAATTTAAGTCCCTGATTGTACCATACGCCTCGTTATTAATGTTTTTACTGTTCTAGTTTGAACTACATACATATAAAAAGTTATTTTTCACTTTTGAAATAAGGTATTAATTTGTTCGGAAACTAATGTTGCAACTCTCTGAGACAGAGTTGACTTTGGACTGATTTGTCTGTTTTATTTCGGTCTATTTTTATGTTAATGCTCTAAACCGTTCAAGGTCTATATATTTGAGTTTGCGAACTTTTCGACTCGAGTAATTAATGGAAGTTCTTCTAGGAACCCCGTGTCGTTCATATTGTAATAGGTATCATAATAAAAATAAAAATAAGGAGATGTGGTATGATTGCCAATGAGACAACTATACACCAAAGTTCAAATGAAGTGAATGCAAGCAATTATAGGCAAGAGTACGGCTTTTAACAATGAGAAAACCCCATACCGTATAGTCGGCTATAAAAGGCCCCAACATGAAAAATATGAAATAATTCAATTGAAAAAACTAACGGCCTAATTTATAACAAAACAATTTACGAAAAACAAGTATGACAGACATGAACCAACGACAACCACTGAACTACAGCCTCCTGACTTGGGACAGGTACATATATAATGTGGCGGGGTTAAACATGTTTGAAGGCGCCAACCCTTCCCTAACCTGGGACAGTGGTGTAAATCAGTTGAAAAGGGCTTAACTCATCAGATCGATACAAAGCAGAAATAAGACTACTAGTATATCACTATCACTGCATCAATACTACTAGCTTGCTACTAATCTTCGGTATTTTTTACGATTTTTTAAACGATTCATTTTCTGTTTTATTAACAAACCATGTTTGATATCATTGGTTCTATGACAGACACACCAACAAAGCTAAGTAGCTTGATATCAATGGTTGTTTTACAGAATCAACAAAGTTAAAACACGTGCATTTTCACTCGTTATATTTTGGATTTTTTTTTCTAGTTCTATGCTTAAGCGTCTTATAGAACCCGTTTAGTCAGTATTCTATATTAAGGTTGTTAGGCTTGTTATGTTACAATGCATTGATAAATCTATGGGTGTATTATAGATGGGATTTCTTGTCCGACATCTGCGGAATATAGTATGTGTCGATGGCTCAAATCAACGCAGCATATTCCCACCCTATTTCCGGTTATCGGTACGGCAGATGCAACAGGTGACACAGATCAAAATACGTGGCGCTCACATCTGCTGTACACGATTACAAAATACATTGTATTGCATTGGCAATCGGAAAGGCAGACAATAATCGGCTGTTCACAACAACCAAAACAATTATTTAATATCAATCGGGATCACAGGTTGGTATAATGTGTGATATTGCATAGATATATTACACTGCTTTGTGTTTATTTGATTGACTGTTTTTGCAGTGATAATTTTGTTTTTGTTCAAACTAATGTTGCATCGCACAAACAAATGATAAGTTACTACGAGTAGCCATGTTTATAAATTGGAAATGCTTTAATTTTGGATTTGGATGAATTTATTAGGGAAGATTTAACAGGGTTGGTATATGAAGAGTTGCTTGACAGTACCCAAAACAAAGCAAAGCTGATTGATAGATATGAATGATTAATTGTATTTAATAATAGTCAGATTATATTAATGGTTGTATGACAGACTGAACAAGCAGCGATTCATTTAAAACCTAATACAAACGTAACCTAGAATACGTTTCCGTGTGAAACCATGCCCCGCTAATACCAACTCATTTCCATGTTCAGTAAATCGCGAAATCTGGGTCAAAACCCTTATTTGGGATATATTTTTTTAAAAAGTTCACATTATAAAAAAACATGTGTAAACAGTTTAAGATGATGTGACCACAACTTCATGGTAAACTTATTTCAACCAAAACTTTAAACTTGATACGGAACAGACGGACGGACTAACGGCCATACTGAAAAACAATGTCAACACTATCATAGGTGGGCTATACAAATATTTCTAGCCAAGAAAATTTAGCTAAAAGTCAAACAGAAAATAGAAATCATACAATAATTCTTTTATTTCATGCATGAGATCTAAATACAAAACGTATGCATCGAATCGGAAGATTCGTATATAATATTATATTACAATTCGTCGTGTTCATTAAGGCCACCAGACGACTCAAATTCATAATTCTGATATAGTTCAGTCCAGAATTGCACACTATTTGATGACATAAAACTTTCAGCGCTGATGGGGACATCAAGGTTCACATAATTTCTGTCTGTAAGAGTGAACCTTTTCCATTCTACTGGCTCTCCTCCTTCATTCGGATTCCTGAAACACATTTATTATTAGAATGAAATCTTAATTTCAAAGAAACTGATGCTTCTTTTTTTTATGTTAAACGTCATAAGCTGTATAATTTAATATCAAATGAGCATTTAAATTGAATTGAGTTGATATTCTTTCAACATTCACGCGTTTTTTTTTATATTATTCGCCTGCTTTATTAATTGTGTTTGAGTGTTATGTTGAAAGTCACCTAACAAGCTTAAAACTTAAGAAAAATCCATGAAATGAGGTCACTAACAGATAAACCATGTCAGAACATGTACAGCTAAAAATCATCCTTTTCACCAAATGCATAGCTTAAGATCTTTTACGCCGAATTATAGCAAAACTCTCTCTATTAAATGACCTAATTACGAAAACTTAACATTGATCTACGAACACGAAAATGAGGTTAAGGTCAAAGAACCTTGTCCTACGGATAGAACACCATACACTCATTCTCGTCACCGAATATAAAGTTTACATATTACTTATAGTACCTGGGGAAACTGATCTGATGAAAAAACGAAATATTGACCATTAACCATTAAAATGAGGTCAAAATTCAGATGATCTCTCTCAGATGAACCCTGTAATACATTTTAACTTTACAATTACTTCTTTACATCGAAAATAGTTGAACTATTTATCATGGTATCTGAGAAACGGACTAAATTACGAAAACTTTAACAATGAACAATTATCAATTAAAATGAGGTCAAGGTCAGATGAACCCTATAAAAAGGACGTGAACTAACAACCAATCGTCTTTACACAGTACACAATAGATGGGTCTATAACTTCTAGTATATGAGAAACGGACGTAATAACGAAAATTAACGCCGACCAATGATTGTCAGACGGACATGTACACCTTACAGTCCTCCTATAATACAGTGAATATAATTGACCTATTACCTGAGAAACGGGCCTAATACAATAAACTAACTTAACTTTGACCATAGAACCACTAAAGTCCAAAATGAGTTCTATTGCAGATGAACCATGCCAGACGAATATGTATAAATAATTATATACTATACTTTACAATTATTCTTTTAAACGAACTTAACTTTTAATATCCATGAAACAAACATACACCAAAAAGCTTAACATTGATCACTGGACCATAAAAAAAATTAGGTCAAGGTCAGGTGAACCCTGCCTGACGGACATTTCAAATGAGTTTCGATAACCATCAGCTTAGTTATTGGATCAAGTGAATGTTCATTAACCGTTTTGTTAATACTACAAAATAGTATACTTGCCTAGATTTCGCAAATGAAGTCCAATAATTAATCATATGTTTCGACAGCTCTTTTTCATCTTCAGACAGAGAAGCATCAGGGCTTACAAAAGGATTGCTGGAAAACATGAATATGAGTTCGTCAGCATGACCTGACCCTTTGAACCAAGATGGTGGAGGTCCACCTAGTGGAGATGGAGATGTCTTGGAAAATCTGTACTGCCACGTTTCACCCCCTAATGACGAATGATATTCCAACATTCTTACAACGGGATATGTTATTAATAAATCGGCAAATAATTCTGAGACCCTCAATCCTTGTTCGGCAAATGAACCATCGACGGTGTAAAAGTCACATAGTTTCGTTTTGAATGCAGGATAATTGTTTAAATACACTTCTACAAATGGTGCTATGATGCCAACACATGCAACTTTGGATGGTATCCCCTCAGTTATATTAAATCCAAAATGTTTTTGAAAAGATGGCGAAGCAATCATATACAGCAAAGACCCTTCATTAGATGTTGTTCCAGCCATGAAATCAATAGATTTGAAAAAGTTTGCTACATCTGAGGTTTTATCGCTTAACAGTCTAAACGGATTGTCGGTAAAAAGTTCGCCATCAACAACCCCCGAACTGGTTGTTTCAAGTGGTATTCTGTCAATTGGACTTGTCTTTATTGGGTTTGTTATATCAATTAGTTCGTCAACTGATATTTGTCTTAAGCAATCTGTAAATTTATATAAGTTGTCCAATATACATCCTGTTTTGTTTGCATAATCTTCGGCATATTGTCTCAGCATTTTAGGCTTCAACGTAAATGGCCTTCCAAAATCAAATGCACCACTTTGAGATATGGCTCTCTGGAACAGTCCTTTGTTTGAAGGTATCATTGCTTGTACATTCACACTCCATCCGCCTGCAGACTCTCCAAAAATTGTCACCGAATCAGGATTACCTCCAAACGCAGCGATATTATCATGTACCCATTGTAAAGCAAGTTTCTGATCCCAAATACCATAATTTCCCTTCGCAGCTGGATGAGCTAAGGCAAAAAATCCAAAAACTCCTAATCTGTAGTTAATAGTTACTACTATAACATCTCCTTGTGTTGCAATACGCCCACCATCATAGTCATGCGCATGTCCCATAGTGAGTCCACCTCCATGGATCCAAACCATAACAGATAATTTTCTATGTGGGTTCAATACCTTTGGAACATAAACATTTAGGAAAAGGCAATCTTCGGACATCTCAAGTTTTACATATCCCGAAAAATTCATTTCCGTCTGCGGACAAGCAGCACCAAATTTAGTAGCATCAAATGTATCTGCCCATTTTTCCACCGGTATCGGTTTCTGAAATCGCAAATGACCAATAGGAGCCTTTCCATACCTTATTCCGCGAAACTCGATAACTTGGACTCCATTTTCTGAAAATGTGTTCTGAATACCTTTGATTAGTCCTGATGGAGTTTCGACAGTAACTGTATTTATTTGATTTTTGTTTGAAAAGACAACTGTGATGAGAGAACAGATGACGAACTGTATCAAAGACATGATTTACATTCACTCTGAAAAATGAGGTGACATATTAGTAATTTAAACATAGACAAAAACAATTGACTGCATCTCTTGAAGGATAAAAGCAACATAAATAACTTTTTCGATATTCAGATGCAGTTCAACGAGGTCTAAATATTCAAAATTCGAAATTTCGTACAATTACTTGTACTTCGCATTAATTTTTTTTTTTTTTTGATTTAGACAAAACGTCCATCCTTTAAAACTGTGGTTTATTTATCTAAAATAAAAATCTATTCCGTACAATGTACAAAATCAAGAAATTATTCAATCGGTTTGATTGGTTGATTAATATTTATCGCTCAGCGGCAAATATTACTTGCGTATTCCTGTCTAAAACATGAAAAGGTCATAAATATACCCCTGATTTGTTCTGGACCGATAAGGACTTTTTGATAGTGGCCAATTTAAAGGAGGCATCCCTTCCATGTGAGGAAACTAGGTATAATACGCACAATGTGAAAATTAAAAAAAATACAAATATATTGTACGTTTACCAAAAAAACATCCTTTCATAATCCTGGACCCCCACTGTTTTACATGGTAGCTCACAAATAAATGGTCGTCAATAGGAGGCATATCACTCTATTAATATTATACAGGACGCATTATGTCGAATCCCAGCCGACCAATTTTAGTTCTAACACCAAAATACAACGTGCTTGAAGAAGTAGCAGCAAAACCCCATCTTAAAGCATTTAGTTTGATCTGGTCGGTGATTAAACCGAAGATTAGTAAAGTGATTGATTGCTTATATTTTACGCCCGATCAGAAAAGAAAGGTTAAATAGAGGCGCTGATCATGAAATAAGTGATATTAAATGAAAATGAAATTAAAAGTGTGATGTTTACTGAATTTAAGTATAGACAGTTTACAATAGTAACCACTTGGTAACAACCGTATATTACGTTTTGGTATACTCAGATAAAACATAGAAATGAACAAGATATTTGACGGGTTAATTTTAGGTCAGGTCAAATGTATAGGGGTGTTCGAAAGGAAATTTTAAGATGAACAATGAAGAATGAAAGGGAACATGCCTTCTGCAATAATGGAATGAACCTAATAATCGTTTATAAGCCGACCCGTATTCCGGTTTAGTGTTACCGACAGTGCGAGGGATGTACATCCAGTCAAGGTCGTTAAACACTTCCAGACAGTTTAGTGTTATTCGTCTGAAGTCTACGAAGTTCAAGATGATGGCCATGATACGTACGGTACGTGATTATTAGAGATGGTAATCTCTAATCTGGAATTGCATTCGTGATTGTAATGCAATAAAGGACGAGGTTGGTGCCTGTTCTTTAAGACTTGTCCAGGTTGTAGTTTTTCAAGTCTAAATTTTACCGTATAAGACGAGTCGTAGCTTGTAGGGTACCAAAATGTACCATCAAGACAAGTCGTAGATTGTAGGGTACTAAATTTTACCATTATGACAAGTTTGTCCCTGACCAAGGACAAATTGGTATTTGTACACACTTGTATCATTTGTATATATTTTAAGGTGGAATGATTAATGTACTATAGATAAATTTAATTGTTACAGCAAGAGCAGTTGTATATATTTAAGTTCGTAGACATAATTTGATGGATATAAACTAGTTGGTGAATAATTCATATATTTTGTAAATAGAACATTTTGGATCCAGTATAAAGCTGGTAACGAACCTTTTCTATAATAAATAAAGGCAACCGTAGTAAACCGCTGTTCAAAAGTCATAAATCATTTGAGAGAAAACAAATCAGGGTTACAAACTAAAACACATCAACTATAAGAGGAAAACAACTGGACAACAGAAACACTGAAGTGCAACAAAAACAAACGCCAACATACATAGAAACGGACTATTTGATAACAACTGCCATATTCCTGACTTGGTATACAGGACATTTAAAGAAAAAATGGTGGGTTGAACTGGTTTTATGGCTAACCAAAACTCCTGCTTATATAGCAATGTTAAAAAATATCGCCAAAACGACAACACAACGTGATAAGAACACAGCAAAAACAAACGCAAGAACACCCAGCACAGAGAAACACATAAATTAAGAAATAATTCATGGAAGCCATAGATTTGTTGGACATTTACACATGGACTGGGCCGTGATATTCGAATTTTATCCTGAGCGTTAGCGAGGGATAAAATTAACGAATATCACGGCCCAGGCCATGTGTAAATGTCCAACAAATCTATGGCTTTCATGAGTTATTTCGATTCTAATAGGACAAGTCAAATACGGTTATTTAAAAACTGAAGCGAAGGTAAGATTGCCGTGTGTATGGCTGTTCTATTTTGCCCCTTGTAAGATAAAAGCTACAAATTTCAAATAAATCTAAGTCTTACATGAATTATTTCTTAAATAAGCACTAGAAAAAATGTGTTCAATTCTCATAATTCTTAACCCAAACTTTTTTTTTTCGTTGGCTACTATTTACTGTCAAATCCAGAGTTGACATGTCGTAACTAAGGAGTGAGCCGCCATGTTGACTTGCTAAAATCCACAAATGTGCAAATAATGCAATGGAATAGAAAATGAAACAACACATACCTGAAAACTCCATTTTAATACAATATTATCCGAATTTAGGGCGTATACGTAACGGAAAACCATCAGCTTGAGAGTTTTCATTCGTATGACGTCATGTTAGGACATGACGTTAATGCGCCAAGATTATTCATGAAATTTCGCGGAATTTTATCTTGTTTTGATTTCATACATTTTTTAAGCTCTTGTGAATTAATTCTTTTTGTTAAATAGGAATAACGGTTCTGTAGTTTCTTTTTCAATTTCAATTTGAACACAACGAAATCGACATAGTGTTTGCACATAGGTTACGATACATGTGGATTTACGTGGGAGGTAAATAGTAACAGCTACCAATATGCACATCTCTGAGTCTGCGCTAAGTATAGATATATCGAGAATTTTATCACGGTGTTGTTTACAAAGCGAAAGAAGCACGTCATATTAGAATTAAGAATAATAGCACATTACAACATGTAAACCGCACATCTTCATTAACGACAGCAGGACACCACAAACATGTGACGTATATGTATTCTTGAAATTTATTTTACAATTATATGGAACGAGATCCAAAAATTCACAATTATTTTCACAATACTAGTCCAATTAATTATCATGATTATGACGGTCTTGAAAGGCTATTTTAAATTAATGCTGTGACGACGTCATAATTATTTGGACTAACACAATACTTTATCCATGGAAAATGGAAATTAATTCGACTATACTGACAAATAAGACACATGTGAAATGTACCGAAAATACAGAATTCAAACCACAAACGACAAGACACAACACAACATCCAACCGAACCCACAAAAGAAACATCATAACTAAATACATGAATGTTGCATGTATAATTACCGAGACACGTCGTATAGCAATGCAAAACAGTCATATTCGGGAATAGTCACGTTCGGTACTTAGCAGACAGACGACATAGATGTTATACCACTAAGACGTGGTAAAAATATCGTTAGTTAGTTTAGACACAGACACATCGTATAGATCAACCAATTCGTGATGGTGTCCATAAAATTTACGGAGTGTAATTTTTAATCTTTCCTCCGCATAACTCTATTGGAGCAGTTTCTGCGTAAAGAGCACACATTACGTATATGAAGTCCGTATAGTGTGAACATGCACGAGCATATCGTATCAATTGAGATATGTAAACACCATACGACGGGGCAGAGGGAATGTTACTGCTGAGAAATGGGAAATTGATAATTGGGAAGTTGAGATCATCCCGTTTGTCATAGATTTTAGTGTGAAGTCGTCCATCTGTGTCAATATTGAGGAAAAGATCAAGGTATGAAGCAGTCCTTCTAGTATCAGTAGTATCCTTAATTTCAAGTTCACTGGGATATATAAGATGCAAGTACTGACTGGAATATGGGTTATTCTGTGATAGGACATCATCAATATATCTGAAAGTAAAATTAAAGAATTTCGCAAGGTGCTTTTTACATCGGATGGCCGTGAGGGCATTCCGGTGTTTTGTTGCCACAGACATTTCTACCCACGTGACATTCGTTTTTGATTGATAACCGTATAATTACGCGGATCATTATCGTGTGCAAAATAAAATTCCTTATCGCTTGTTATATATTAATTTTATCAATAAATATTCATGAAAATAATTTTTAAGAACATAGATAAATGATATGAAAATGTTTTGTCGTGAGAAATATATATATCAATAACAAATCAAAAATACCGAAAATTTGTGTTAACGCATGTGGATGAATATCTCAAGAATGTTTTGTAACAAACGCGGGCAAATATGAATGCTTACTCAAATCCAATTTATTAGAAAAAACGAATTATTGCGAAGAGTGTCCACCATGCACTTGCACTGCACTATCATTCGAAGAGTAGAAAAGAATGATATACAAATGGACGAAAATTTTATATAACTATTATACAAATATAAATATAATATATAACAACAAACCAGAGTATACTGATAACAAATAATTATATCACTACAATATAATAGTTATTACGGTGAGGTTGAATTCCTGTCATTTATTCATCATTCACACACGAACTTGTCTCAGAAAAAATATATCTATCTACCTTAACCTAACTTTCAGGTATAGAGATGTGATTTTATTCTGAGACAAGTGCTTGTGACCATCCACCAGAACTTGCGGTCATCCGATGTTCAGTACTTCATTACTTTGATTCTTTTTGTCTTTTAGAAGGTTCTGAATGAATTCTGCTTCATACGAGTACAAAAACAAATCGCCCAGAAGGGGTGCACAATTAGTACCCATTGGAATATCGACTGTCTGTTGATATATCAATCCTCCAAACTCAACAAATATATTGTCGATTAAAAAGTCCAGCATTTTGATAATATTATCTTCAGTGTATTTTCGGATAGAATCAGTGTGGTTCTTCACAAAATAAGAATTATTATAACCCAAAACAAGAAATATATATCTAAGATTCACATTTTTATAGAAAAAGCTCTGTTGAATGAGATGGTGATGTCGATCTTTCAATTGATCATGGGGAATAGTAGAAGCGTAGAAAAATCAAAGGTCTTAATGTTGCTGCAAAATTGCAGAGATTATGATCAAAGATTTAGCAGTAGATCTATACATTTTTTGAGAATCCACATCTGATTGAAACCACTTGAATATATCTCATTACAATATTTTTGAAGGCCATCTTTTACTGTACATCTTGATGATCCAGCTATGTATCGTTCTTTATACGGAGTTTTGTGAAGTTTTGGTATCCAGTATAATGACGGTAGACACGCTTACCCTGTGTACACGTTACAAAAGTAACTAAAATGGGTTGGAGTTGGATTGGAACGGGTATTATATCCGCCTTTTGTAGCGACAGGCGTCTTCTTTTATACGAAATATACAAAAGAAATTTTAAACGTACATGAAGCATGGCATTGACCACAAACGTCACGCATTCAAGATTATGGTCCACGACAAGGTTTTCTATAGTAATAACCTCGGGACCAGAACATTCCATCGTCACCTGGTGATGCGGCACTGGGCTGCTCTATAATGCTCTCGATGGCGTTTACAGAATAGATAACAATGGGACAAATCTACAGAAAAACGGACCCAGAAAGTAAGAATAGAGAAAAATAGGCAAAAATATAAAGAATGAGAATAATGAGCAAATAATATAAAGAATAGAGAAAAAATACCTAAAAAAATAAAGAATACAAAAATGAAAGACCCTCCTCCCCCCATCCCAGACCCTACTCTATGGGTAGAGCTACTTGTCGCCCCCATATTTTCCAAAGACGAACCAAAGCCACACAGCACTCGCAACAGACATTACTAGTATGAGACCACTAATGTGGTCATCGGTTCGATATGAAATCGTGGGAATAGCTGCGTATTAACGCTGATACAGTAAAACTAGAAAGCATATTATAAAACAAAAACAAAATCTTACCTTTATAATGGTTCAGCACTCGGTGTTTCCACTAAATACACTACAGTGTAGTAATCTCTACATACACATACAGGTACTTTTATATACCCGATGTTTACTATTATTAATTGGTGTTGGCCTGTCGATTTAAAAAAAAAATAATCGATTTGGTAAATAAAGTTCTTGTGAATGGATTTATTGTAAACTGACGAAGTGTTCTTAAATAAACGAAAGCTTAAATGTAAAGTCCTCGAAAATGACCCCACTTATTAATACATTGATCTACCTTGTTAACAGTTTTCAAGAACGATAACTGTGAAATTATTAGAGTTACAAAATAACATAACTTGATCTTCTTCTTCTTACGTTAATCAGTAATGGAAAAATACCATCACGATGATGCTGTGTCATCAAACAACAATTGAAATAAAAGAAGCTTATAAATGTATACTTGATAACATCACACTAAAACCAATTAATATAAATGCTAATCAGAAATCAGTGTCGCAAGTCTTCACTGAGGGAGGAATTAGACGTGTAACCAGAGATCATGATTTGTCTTCCAGAAGTAATTACTGTGCGACGGGATTCAAACTGTGACATCTGTTACAGTTAGCCATCGCTCTACCAACTAAGCTAAAGAAGAACTCCACTAATAGAGGGCGGTTTTATATCGACTAAGTACATGAGAATGTCATGAAATAGAAGTCCCTTCATTATATAAGTTCCAAATGAAAGAAATATTCTGTAATATTATTTCCACTGGAACAAATATGTGGGTCTTATTGTGGTCTAAGCGTGATGCGGGATTGGCCGATTTTTTGTCAAAGTGAAAGTCAAATTATTGTGCGTGAAAACGGGAAACGAGGTCAGCCGGGACACGTGAAATTACAAGCGTTATTATTACAACGCTAAGCGGGATACTGTGATATGACAAAAAAACAAGCGGGATCCCCCCTTTTTTGCCCATGAGACACTCAGGTATTAAAGTATTTGTTCCTAACGGAATAAAGGATGTAGAATATTGTTCCAACTGGAACAGATATTATGGCATTGTAAATAACAAATGTTCCAGGGGAACTTCTGTAAGGTGGAAACAATATACGTTGACAGGAGAACCGCTACAGAGGAAACGGGTCCAATAGGAGCACGTGAATAAGAGACGACACATTAAGCGTAAGACTATGTGCTTTTGACTGACTGATTATTGCCACGGTTTGATAAACGTCCATTGGCAAATAGTTTATGCATATTCATGACAAGAAGAAATTGACAAATTGAAACAATTATTCCAGTAGGTATTAGGCTCTGCGAGTTGGTCGACCGCGATTTAGAGCGGATAGTGAGGGTATGTTGGATATAGGGGCAGACATTGTATCTTTCACAACAGGCCATCTACGAACCCATCAAAAGGTTTTTGCAAGTGTTTTAGAAGGGAAGGAGTGTGGTACTCTCCATAAAAGATGCATATAACATTAATCGTCCCTGTTCCAATCTGACGTGGCGGTGCATGTATATGTCCCGCACAACAAAAAACGGACGTCATTCTGGGGCATGGATTCTACTGATGAATGAGAGAAGTCAAGGGTGATCATTATTCTGTACTTTTTACCAGAGGGTCCGCTTTATACAGGTTCCTTTATTTATTTACTATTAAGCTCGAAGCTATGACTAACTAAAGTCTAACATATATATGGACAAAATAAGGTTTAAGTGTATAGATATATAAATAAATAAATAGAATATAGATATTTATGTTTTATTCTTGAAAATCTATGAAAATCGATAAATTTGAAATATTGCATATAAATTACTAAAAAGTTAAGATTTCACTTTTACACAAACGTGAAGGAATGATACGTTGTGAATTTATGCAGCGGATGACCTTGATATGTCATTCCGGTGTTATGCTGGCGCAGAAATTCTGCACACGGCCCTTGCGTTTTTAATTAAACTATGTACGAATCGAGCACTAACAAGCCACAACGGTAATGGTCATTATTATATTTAAACATCTCCTCTAATGTTAATAGTGGTCAAAGAAAGTTGTAAATACTTTATACTGTTCAATAAATCATTTCTTTTATTTAAGGTTTGTTCCATTGATCATGAAGTCCTTCAGATATCATGTGACATTTATACAAATTTACAATTTAGTTTAAATATCAGTACATGACTTAATTCTTATTTGTTATTTGTTAAAAACTGTCACCAGGTAAGACTTGAGTTTGTGATCGTTTGTGTATCTAATGTTCAAAAAAGAAAATTTTCTCTCTTTTTAATTTCATTTTTCTTATTTTTGTCTTTCTTTTGTGTGTGTTTTACTATTGTTTCTTTATTTTTTGTTGTTGTTGTATATCCCTCATCTCGTTTTATTTTTATGACACCAATTCCATTGCGTAAGACGTGTTTCTGGACGTACAATCATTGGCTACTCTTGAAGCAAGTTAATAACACACCATTCTGTATATGGTCAAAAATACCAAGAGAAAATGACAGAAAAAGTGCAAAAATCGTTCAAAGCCATATAAGTAGTATAGAAGAAGTAACCTGAATGTAGAAATTTGTCTTCAAAATAAGTCTTTGTATAGTATACTATATTGTCTATATTTTATTATCAGTTGTTTATGCATTACATACGTCTGAGACGATACAACTTTGTATAGTCTCTATCAAATTGATTCTTTTCTCCCTTTTTTTCTTTTTTTTTTAAACTTAGATGGATTAAGGGCTTGACATTTTGTACATACACTTGTCTTTTGTATGTTTATCTTTAGACGTCTTTTGGTTTTTGTGTCGTTGGGTTGTTGCAGTGAGGGACGCCGGAAATTTTAGAAATTTTGAGGGATTCCGACCTCATTTTCCAAATAAGGAAAATCACGAGTAGTTCGATAAACAACATTTATGTATCATTACATATTATTGATGTTTTCATACTTCTTACTTTTGTTGATGTTTTTATACGCCCGTCAAAATTTTGACGGGACGTATTATGGTATACAAATGTCCGGCGTCCGTCCGTCTGTCTGTCCGTCTGTCCGGCGTCCACATGTCGCACCGTAACTTGAGAACAACTTATCCAAATTTCATGAAACTTAACATAGTTGTTTCTTATGATGGTCAAACGATCTGTATACTTTTTGGTGAAAATAAGATTAAAACTTTTTGAGTTACGGGACTTTATATTAATCTAAAGATCTGTATACTTTTTGGTGATGATTCAAAATTTTATTTTAGAGTTATTGAGTTTTTTTGTAATAAAAGGGGGGTTTTCACATGTCGCGCCGTATCTCAGAAACTATTTATGATTATTGCATAAAACTTCACACAAAAGACGACGGGCGTATCATGCGCTCGTGTCGCAGCTGTTTATTGTTGTTGTTGTTGTTGTTATTATCATCATTTTGAATATTAATATTTTTATAAGACGTGTTACGAAAAGGTATATACTCGACGCGGAGGTTGACAAATTAGACTTTAAATGTGGGGACTGTGTCAAAACATTGATTATTGATTAAAACCGGTAAAATTCAATTTGTGTGATGTTAATCAGCCTTCAAATGTATCCTACACATTTCTTGGTTTATTTAAAATTATATTAGTTAAGAATAATCACTTTCTGATATCATTACTTGTGACTATAGGACGGGAAAGGTGTCCGTGTGTGCGGGGAAAGGGGGTTGATGGTTTTTCAAGTATGCACTTCAAGATTTGAAAAAAAAATCACATAATCAGCCAGTTTGATTTTTTTTTTAATTAATTACTGTTTTTCGAACATATTAATTTGTCTTGATGATGCATGAACTATTTGTCACTGGACGATAAAGAAAAACAACCAATCAATCCCTACTAAACACGCACAAAACTCTACAGTCTAGTTAATTTTTTTTTATGTTTCAAATGCTTCCACGGACTTTGAAAGTTTTTGAGCGCCTGATAGCGTGTTCCACATATATCCGACACCCGAACGATAATTTCAATTTTTACATTGTATTATTTCTGCTCTTGGTCTACGTGTAGCTCTAGGTTTATAAGGCCCGTAGAGAATAACGAGCGAAGAACACATGTGGTATATTTCTTTACCTAAAATGACAATTAAAATCCTGGGGGAAATCTAATTCCATACCTGGCCAATTGAAGGCAGCAAATTAAACTGTTGAGCAACATCCTGTTGTCCTAGAAAACTACTGTGTGTGAATATTATATGATTCCTATTGTCGACAAAATTCTGCATAGGTATGCAATGCCGGTATCTGGAGTAAAATTGTCCCGATGATCAGTGTGTGGTCTGTAAATGGCATGAAAATTCCTGTAAATTGCTGTGGGCATTTTATACCTGCCGCCACGTACTTGTCGCCTATTTTTTAATTTCGACTAAGAAGTATTTAGTGCATAGATTTCATAAAGAATCGGTATCTACGCGTGTATTTGTGTTCTCGCAGCATGAACAGAAACCTCAACGAGAAATATGCAGGAATATGTATTTAGGGTGTCAAACCTGCGAAAAACGAGTCACATTTTACATAGAACCCTCTTTTTAAAACTTAGTTAAAATTAGAGTTAAACAAAGAAAATACGTGCATTAAAGGGTATATGACAGGGAGTACTTTTCGGGCTGTTTGAAAGGCGTGTCTAACGGGTAAGAGAATTTCAAACCTCAGAAATTACAATGTGAAATGTTTTAAACTTTGCATGAATGTGTAAGGGATGTCTTTTCAAATGATCCTCATTTCTTTGGGTCGAACCAGTCACGTTTTACATGAAAATAATATAAGGGATATTAAGCTTTTCCTGAGTAGGTATTAACAATTTATTATATATAAAATCGTTCCCAAGGTCTAATGAGGGCTAGCGAGGCCATAAAGGTGTCATGTTGGCCATTTGTACAAATGCCAAAAATTCACGAAGTTTCAACCTCCGAAAAAAAACCAAGGCAAACTATATCAAAAATGAATCCATAAAAAGAGTTTCACATTACATTATACATACATTGTACAAAGTTTAAAGACGCCTAGGTGAGGAGTTTATTACTTAAAACGGGTACCCTCTGTCCCGCTAGCCCACCCGCCTACCAGCTGGATTTCATCATACTATATAATAAGTCGGTTTGACATTGTGTGCAAACCGTCCAAAAGTTCTGACCTCGGGTAAACATCCATTTAATTTAAATGGTCCGTCGCTATTGATTTCGAAAACGCAAAAATTTAAAATAGCAAGTACATATTGCTTTAATTTTTAAGGGTTGGTGGGAAATTTGTTTCTCTCAT